AATCTAAATCTATTATATTTCCTAACAAGATATTACTATTTCCTTTCCTCTTCCTACTAGTGACAGTATCATCTTTTTCCTGCACCACATTTAAAAACTCTGACCCATTCTTAGTTCCATTACGTTATGGTTTATTATTTCTCTAAATAACTATGGTAAATGTACCTTTCCTTTCTTTCTGTTTTTGTGCTAAGTTAAAGGCATTCATAACATCTTTCCAGAGTTTATAAATTTGCCGCAGCTTTTTCAGCCCACAGTTCAGCATGCAAAGTGATAATCAACTATCATGTATTCAATCAGTGTATTTTGGTTATCTATTAAGTCTTAGAAAGCGTGGACAGTGTTCTCACACTTTGTTACACTGGCTCTTGTTCTGATTTTCCACAGGTGAGTTGTATCAGATTTATTGGAATGAATGTAGTGGAGAGTAGAGCTGGTTCATGAGTACACAACATGCATAGTCTCACAAGGCCTCACATTCAGGAAGGTCCCATGCTTTGTTTAATGCTTGCTGTGGCCATCTTAAAACCAATGACAATTTTTTTACAAGAGTTCCCATGTTTCATTTTTCACTCTTGATCCAATTGTACAACTGGTCTTGGTATCAATGGCAAGAAAAGTATCAAGGCTAATGCCAGGATTTTGTGTAGACCATTGTGTGTGTGTGTGTGTGTGTGTGTGTGTGCTTAATCAACTCCATTCTCCCACCTCATCTCAAACAAGGTGTTATTAAAAGTAACTTCTTAATATGTGAAAAACATTGTCTCTATAAAGATACTAGAGGCCCAATGCATAAAATTCGTGCAAGAGTAGGCCTTCCTTTCCCGGCTGCCGGCACCGGCTTCCCTCTGGCACCGGGATCTGGACTTCCCTCTGGCTGCTGGCAGGCACCCAGGACTTGGGCTTCCTTTGCAGCCCCAGCTTTGTCCAGAAGGTCATCCGGAAGGACACCTGGAAGACGTCTGGTCTAATTAGCATATTATGCTATTATTATTATAGATAGAATTTATAGTGTTGCATTGCATTTTAGTATTTTATTTTTTTCATATCTTAAAGCTAGAGAATCTGCCTTACTTTTCTTTTTATTCCTCAATGGAAACTTTATCAGTGTTTTCAATATAGTGCTATGTATTTTCTGAATACAACTATTCGTGCACACATGCATACTAAAACATTACATATACATATAAACATATATAAAGTTGTAAAAATGTATAAAGTTAAAGCATATATATATATACGCAATATTTTTGCTAAATATGAAAAAAGTGTAGAAACTTTTGTTGAACTTAATTTTCTAAATGTCTTCCATTGAGCATTAAAACAATTTAAGTCTGTTATATTTCTCAATTAGCAATAACACGTTAGGGAAATGAATATGGACAGAAAATTAGGAGAGAAAAACAAGGACACAGTCAATAAAGATTTCAGTAATCACACGAATAGAAATTAAAATGAGATATTAATTTTCAGCTATTGAATAAGCAAATTGAAAAAAATCCTCTTGCTCAGGAGTAGTGAGGGGTCAATTCATCTTTTCTCTAATGGCGTTGAGGAGCAATAGGGTTATCATGTGTTTTGAAAAATGTTCATATACTTTGCTTAGTAGTTCCGCTTCCAACAGTCTATCCAAATGCAATAGTGATTCAGGAAAAGATTTATAAACAGATGTTCATACAAGCATTATTTATATCAAAATCTTACACACATCATTAATTTGTAGTGCGGGGAAAAAGATTAAATGAAATATATTACATATATGTTATACATTTTTTTCTTTATTTAGATTTGAAAACATTGCATAGCCTCCTGATTTTCCAGGGTCAAATTCAGCATGAGATGTCATCTACAGAGGGAATTTGCTGAGTCTGTCTCTCAGGGAACTATCAGAGTCTAGCATTACGTTTTTATCTTCCTAGTTTCTATAGCCTGACCAGCATCAATCGTATGTTGGATGCTTCTCTGTCACCAGCGAAAATGATCCTTATAACTCTTCCAGGGTAACATAAGAGGGGACTCAGGATCAGAAGTGTCCAAGCTTTCAGTTTCAGAGATTACCGCTGTAATAAATTCTGCTGACTGATACATTGTTCAGTTTTCTGAAGTCATCTTTGACATAAAGAGAAAAGCACAAAACCAAACCAAAAACCACCTGCCTACTGCCTGGCTTCCCCAAGCAGCATGTTCTGCGTTGGCTCACTTCCTTCCTTCCTTTGAACCTGCAAACACAAGAGACACACTAAGTGGATGACAGCTTCACCTCTGTGTGGCTAGAGGAGGTTGGCGTGGTTTCAGAATAGCAAACTTCAGAAGCCGTTTAAAACCAGTGTACATTGCATCATTGGTTTTGTGGAGAATCTAGAGCCCCTTAATCTCAGTTCAGTCTCCTAGACACAAAATCCCCTTTGGTGAATGGATTCTTTTTCTAGAAATGGATTGTATTGCTTGGTGATGCTGACAAATCCCTCTGTGTGTCATCCAAGTCAGGAGCACGTCGCCTGTTGAGTTCCATTGTGACTGTCCACTGGACGTGCTTACTATGGCCTTATCCAGGGACAGTCCCCAGGAAGGCCAGCAGAAACACATTTTGCTTTCAAGTTTGCCCCTAGGATGCTCATTGCTGGTGTCTCAGCAAAAGCTTCAGGTTTATTTTATTTCATTTCATTCAACTAGAGGAAGGCAAATAAACAGTCTTCTCTAGAAAATGCCATAATGTGAAGTTTTAAAATTAAATTACATGACCACTGATAGATCAAAAGTTCTTCTTTATATCCTTTCCCCCTCTCATACCTTATCCTTCCTTTGAATTCCCAGGGTTTCATCAACACAGAAAGATTCAAAATTATTTCTTTTCAATCACCGAAAATGAATAAGAACTTATTCCTGGATACTATGCAAGGAAAATCTCGTTTAAATCAGAAGGTCATGAGGGAGAATATAAAAAATATAATACAACATTGGCTCATTATTCTGATGCTATTGTTTCTGCTCTGCTTTTCGATGAGACTTTAGATTTTTGGAGACTTCCAAATTCTAATTGACTTCTAACAACTTGTTTAGGAGTAACTACGCATTTAACTGCGCAATTCCTTCACACTTAAAAAAAACACAACCTAAAAGCAATCCAGTAAAGTGCTTCTTTCATTGTTTCTGTTGGTTTGTTTAATCATACCAAAACCACAAACCAATTAAATCCTTCCACATTTTGCATCACTCAGGCTAAATAAAGGTAGTCAAATATAGCCCCATTGTATTCAAAACATTCCCTCCCAGGCCCTTTAAGGGTTTCTTTTTTTTTTTTTTTTGAAATAGACATACCTTTTGACTCAGGTTGCTGAGGGTCCTGTCCTCTCGATCTCTTTGACCTTTCTTGAGGCAGGAGAAGAGAAGAGGGAAGGATGATTAGAAATAAACTAAAGTTTATTAAAAGTTTGCTACAGCTGCACTGATTTTTGTTATTAATCACAGAAACCTTCCTAAGTGAGAGTTACCTCCTTGATTTTAAAGAGAAGCCTCCTGAGGCTCAGAGAAGGGACACAGCTTACATGGGTTCAGGGAACGGGAAGTCCCAGCGAGGACTCGCATCCATGTCTCCTGGCCTAAGAGAACCTGTCCCCTCTCGCATAGCGCCAGACCTGTTAAGCGTCAACCTTACTGCTTTTTTGAACCTCTGGACATGAGCATTTTTTAAAAAATATATTTATTGATTTTTTTACAGAGAGGAAGGGAGAGAGATAGAGAGCTAGAAACATCAATGAGAGAGAAACATTGATCAGCTGCCTCCTGCACATCTCCCACTGGGGATGTGCCCGCAACCCAGGTACATGCCCTTGACTGGAATCAAACCTGGGACCTTTCAGTCCCTAGGCCGACGCTCTATCCACTGAGCCAAACCGGTTTCAGCGACATGAGCATTTTTATTTCCAACTCACCAGAGCGCATAATGCTGCTCTCTCACTGGTTGCAATGACTTGGGGTCCTACATAATTCTAAATATATCCGCCAGTGATCCTGGCAATAGCCATCCCATTGGCATTAACTCCTACACATGTTTACTACACTGCTTTAAACGGGGCTGCGCCACGATGCAGTTAATGATCAAATGAGGGGTGACTTTGTGTTGGGAGAAAGTGCTAAAGTTATTTCAACTGTTCACATCAATTTTGAATACAGCCACTCAGTCCCGGAATCCCTGTTATCCAACGCTATGTACAGTACAGATTGTTTTAGTTTATTCCGGAGTGGTAAGAGGGAGAGATGTGTACATGTTACAATTTTCCTGGCACAAGCCGAGATGGGTAGGAGAGGCACTGCAGTTCCTATTCATCTTCACAAATGCAATGCTGACCTGCAAGGCAAAGCTCTATCTCACAGAATCCCTCCACGCCTTGAGTACTTTGGGGTGAGGCATAAAAGGGCATCCCTCAAGTTCAATCTCACGGCTACCCCCGGACTGTGGATCGCTGAGGAATGAGCCGGCAGTTAAATGTTTAGCAGGCTGTGACGACTTCGCAGGGAAATAGAAAAATGTATTACCAGCCTGCCACATCCGTGCCTGCCCTGCCTGCTTTTACTCCGGTCTCCCCCCGCCCCCCCCCATGTCTACTCCCACTCCCTCTGACAGTCAAACCCTTTCTGGCTCCCCAGTTCCCCCTCCCTCCCCCGCAGGAACCTGACAGTAAACTGTCACGGAGTCCTGGTCGTCATATTTCAAGAGCCTTGGTGCTAAAGAGGATGCCGTGGGTCCAGGGTATTTATTTCATTTTATTCTTTTGTTATTATTATTGATGGCATTGCTTTCCCCATGACCTTGCTCAGGGGGCTAAAGGGTGTCCGATCTGCATACTATAGAATTTGTGCAGCCCTCAAATATGTACGATGTGGGGGAGAAGGAAAGAAAAAAAAAGAGGCAGTGGGAACGACAGGACCTGAGCGAAGGGAGGAGAGGAAGGAGGAGAGAGTGAGAGGAGAGGATCAGGCGGACAGGCTGCGCCAGCCAATCAGAGGCGCGCTCGGAGCTGCAGGAGCCGGAGCCGCGAGCGGCTCGCAGGAGCGGGGAGCCCAGTCCGGGCTCTCGGAGGACGGAGCTGCCGCCGCTGAGCCCGAGCCCTGGGAAAGTCCCTCCGCTTCTCGTACATTAAGTTCCTTGGCACCAGTTAGGGCCAGTCCGCCAGGTAAGGCTTCAGCAAATGCCACTTTGCTATGTAGTGACATTAATATTGTACAGCGGGGCTGCTGATGCAGTTCTGAGTCAAAAAAATATATAGCTGGTAGATTTGGGGAGATCGTCCTCTGGGATTGGTTTCACAGGATCTGGTGCCAGTGGGAAAGTTGTAGCTGATGTTCCCTAAGCCTTAGCGCTAGCCCGCATATATATTTCTTTAAATTTTGCTTACCCAGGAATGTTGCTATAGAGCCTATGGAATGAGAGCCTAATACCCCAGCTGGTCTCTGTTTATGTTGGTCGGTGGTGGTGCCCTGCCCCTGAAGAAGTTGGAAGGAGACTCTGCACGGCACATCTGAATAGTGATGGCTTCAGAATCAGCTGTCATGTCTGTCTGTGCAAGTGAGGGAAATCATGGTCAGAATAGAAACGGAGAAGCTGAAACTGAAATTTTGATAGTGCTCTTTAATTATTGCCTTTCCAGTATCCTCTAAAATTACATGCTATCTGAGCACCGGAGCTGCAGCAAAGGAAGGCTCATTTTCTCTTTTCTTTTCATTCATTTTTGCACAAATCACCTTCATAAATGCTTATTAAAGCTTAAGATGAAACTTTCACTTCTTTTAAAGGGCACTATAAATGATGCATGAAAAGGAATTAGGTAGGCTCCCGTGATCTGTAACATACTTTATATATATTTAGTACATGTACTTAGGTATGTTAACTCTGATTCATTCCCTTTTCTTAACTTCCTCCACCTGCTTTGTTAGGGTCTGGGAATAACAATTATTTTGTCTTCATTTTCATGTCTTACAAACAAGGTACAATTATGCTCTATGCATGTTTATATGTCGTGTGTGTGTGTGTGTGTGTGTGTGTGTGTGTTGTGCGTACAGATGCAGAACTGGGAAAAGCTATCCTATGTAACAGGTGAAAGAATAGAATTTTATTAGCTAGTTATTAAAGTATTACCTTATTTTAATACCGACTGCATTTAATGCACTTTTAGGTTAATCAATAGCAAATGCTCCTTGCTATTTCCCTGCTGGAAGTTAAGAAATACTAAAATAAAAATCTTAGCTAAAATTATTATGGTCTTCCGTTTGCTCAGGTGATGGCATCAGTGCTTTGAGCCAAGAGAGACAGATCAGAGAAAGGTTTTATTATGCAGGCCCCCCCCCCAAAAAAAAAAAACAAAACATAAAACACACACACCAAAAAACAAAATCTGCAGGCTCTGACTGTGTTTTTGGAACCTTTATTTTCCACTCTAGGATCACCCACAGATTTTTCAAAGCAGGGGCCTTTCCTTCTGCAGTAATTGCTCTGCTCTGTTTTAGTGGACTTGTCTTATCAGAGAAAGATTTATTTCTAAATCCAGAGTTTGAAGTACAGACTAGATCTCATATGAACCTTGCTGTCTGTGAGAGGAGAAAGGAGGAAGAGTTTGATACTAGTAGGAATTAGTTCTGTAGTCTTAGCACTCTGGTCCAAGCACCAGTCATCATTTCAGTTTCTTTCAAGCCTCCTGTTATCTATGCAATTTTGGATTTCCTGATTATAAACTAACCTAGTGCAGGGCAAGCCATTTATTCACTTCATTTGATGGGCCTTGGTAATAAGTGTTTTATAAACCACAGTGCTGATGCTTTTTCACAGAGTTAGCCAACTTAAGGGGAGATGGAAACAAATGTATACTAATGGTCAAGTTGGAGCTACTACCCTGACCACAGTGGGAGGTAGAAAATGAGGATTTCCTATTTCAGATTCAACAGAAATGTCCAAATGCAGATAACCCAATAGCAATAAGGGAAATAACAGTAGAATGAAGATAAATGACAAGAAACTCTAGCTTTAAATCTCTTTCCAGTGAATGTTGACTATAATTAGTTATAGTGGTTGCAAGCTTGGTGAATAGCAACCAGTGCTTGAATAAAGGCTATCCATTGAGCAAATTGGAAATTATTATTCCTCCTGATGACCTGTTTCAGATGGTAGAGTGGAATCATGAGAATGAATGAGTCATTTAGTCTAAGGTTATAAGTTCTTTCTATGAAGGATGCTATATAAAGTAAATATAAAGTGCCTTTTCCATTTGGCTCATATAAATAGCAATCTTACACTTCTTTTTATTTTTATTTTTGTGGTCTATTGAATACAGACCACAGGTTTAAAAGTGTGTGTGTCCCACTTCTCCTGTATGTGACTTGTTGGTGGTTAGAAGAATGCAGTATTCCATATATATATTTGCAGCCTGATACAATTGTCCTTTGGAATCTACACAAGCATGTGCACTTCAACAGGCCAAGGATAAAGCATATTTAACTTACTGACCTGGAATAATTGACTTTTCCTGAATGAAAACATCAGTTATAGTGGAACCCAGTGAAAAGTAAGAGGAAGTGATTGAGAGATTAAAGATAGCAAGGGTGAAACATGTTCTTTTGCTTTTCTTAATAAGGACTTCAAAATCTTTGATTCCATTAATGATATACCTTCCTTGTAGTATATAATTAGACATGCCATAAAACTGTATTCTGTATTAGAGCTGCTAGGCTTTGGTACCATTGACATTTTGGGTTGTATAATTCTCATGCGAGGATGACTGTGCTGTGCTTTGTAGGATGCCTAGCAGAGTCCTTTTTCTAACTACTAGATAACGACAGCAACACCCCCAAATTGTAGCAACCCCAAATATTTTTAGACAGTATTAACTATTCCCCATGGAGGGGGGCAAAAATTGTGCCCCTCTTCTATTGGAAACTACTGCTCTAGGACAAAAAAAATATGCATGCAACAAACTGAGTCAGCAACTGCCTATATATACAGCTTGGGTGTTCTATGATAATCCTTCTTCCCTTGCTTTGAATGAATTTCAACTTTAAGGTGGTTCATTAGGTCACGAATAAAAAAGTGTGGAAGAGCTTATCTATCTATTATTTTCATGTAAGCTGTGAAACTTGTCTATGTATTATCAAATACCATATAGCTTTATATTATAATATGTATATATATATAGTATATTATCATATACTAACTTTCATGGGAACAAAAGGAAATAAAAACTGAGAAAAAGAAAGTGTAGAGATGTTGAGTCTGAAGACAAATTTCTCTTGTATTTGTTATTTCACATGAGTATTATTAATGATAAATGGAAGACACTGAGTCTCTCTGATTGTTTTCATTTGTTTCTTTTTTTTTTTAGTATGTATATGTTTAGGGTCTCAGAAGAAATCTTCACTCTGGTTATCCTATGAGCTTGGAATAGTTTATGATGTTCAAAGACTCTAGAAATAAATATTTTGGTTTCAAAAGCCCAGTTCATAACTGGTAGTGATGTTAAGCATAATGGAATAAAATACCAAGCTTAATGATTTTCAAACATGGCAGAACTTGGATCCTGCCATGGATTACTTGTATCACATGTCACTTGTATATATAAGCCATTTTCCCACATCTGCAAAAGGAAATAAGAATAGGCATGGGAACCAAATAACAGAAAGTGTTGTAATGGGTTGTAATTTATAAAGATCTATACCAATCACAAAGTCAATGTCTTACGTGGCTTATTTTATGAGAATTGACTTAACATGATAAATCTTCCATCTATTCTTGGGTAGGGGAGTTAAAATCATCTCCAATAAATGGTAATATTAACTCTTAAATGCTTTTTTCATTGGTGAAGTAATACATCTTCATTTTGAAATAATGTGATTTAAATTATGGCTAAACCTCAATTTACTCACGTATTTCCATCCTTTCTCATAGAATGCACATTTATAATTTGTTTAAAATATAGAAATGTAAAATATGGAATATGCCTTGTAATGCACTCTTCAAGAAAAGCCACTATTACCAATTTGGTATATTTTTAAATGATTTTTTAATATGGGCAGCTACATATAAGTCTGAAAAGAATACAGATTTAAAGTAAAAATTGTGTAGAGATGTATTCATTCAAATAATATATGTAAACAAACATATATTTAGATAAAATAAACATAATTTGATATGACGCCCAACTAATTTTATAGCATGTTTACTCTTCCATGTAAACATGGAACTATATCGAGAATTCACGGATATTTAAGAAGAATCCAGTAAGCCTTTATGCACAGAACCAATATTGAACTCTGGTTCAGTGTTAGGGACACACATTTGTTTACAACTTTCTCTGCTCATTAGGTCAGGAAAATTTTAGATTGGACATATAGTTTTATAGATATACTATCATTCATTTAATTAATCTCCTATATATTTTATTATTAAGAGTAAGAGAAAGCTGACACAAATAATTTAGAACCTATTATTGCTGACAGTGTTTTGACTTTTAAGTGTGGTATGAGTTCCAGGGAAATAAATGGACAGTAGGAGATGTAGGAGCAGATGCAAGAGGGTCATATGCTTTAGAGTACCCTGATGTGCTCTGATGTTTCTGTAGATACCAGAAATTCTGATATGCAAACTTCTACATTGATGAGCTACATCAATTTAGGAAACATTTTGGTAAGCTGAGAATAAAATTAACAAAGTATGATCCTTAAATGTATTTGAGTGCAGTATTTTACTTGCACCGTGTGGATATGATAGATGAATTGTCAGTAAAAATAATTTGGGTATCACAGTTACCTTCACTGAAAAGAGGAATTGAGCTATCATTTCCATTTCATTTTATCTTTAAGTGACCATAAGTATCTTAAAATAAATATTAATTGTCATTATCTTTAGGCCTTTAGGGCCAACATATGTGACTTACATATAACAATGCACAATGTGATGTGACTGGCAGTTTCACTCAATCCCATTATTTTTGCTCATTATAACTGCTACCAAAAGTTTTTAAAATAAAATATTTCTATTTGGGTTCAACTCACAGTTCCCAGTGGGATTTAAATGGAGACAGGATGTCAATGAGCCTATTCAATGATAATTTATTGAGTCATCATATGACTAAGAATTTTTGAAACCAATATTGGCATTAGCAAAAGTGTGACAAAACTCTTATTTACA